CACTGAATTTGTAAGCTGCAGTTCTAACTAAATTTTAGCTTTTTAAATGTAAAGCATCTTTAGTGGGAAATTTTGAACACAATTTATTTATAATTTGATATTATAAAAACTAATGAAACACAAATGTAATATAAATTAATCAATGTATATAGCAACAACTTTTGTAGTTACAATTTTACTATTTTTATCTTGTTCTTTCATTCTGATAGAATGTGATTATTTTCAAGTTAAGGTGAGAACTGAAGCTGGATATACATAAGGCCACTAAATTTGCAACTGGCCAGTGCTTTTTGATAGAAACTGATATATTAATCATTTTGTATTCAGTGAATAATAATGCAGTGTTGTTTATTAGCGTGTGTTGCTGGAGTCTGAGCTCATCCAGATGATCCAAGGGTTATGTCAAATTTCACACAGCTGGGGAAGATCAAAAAAGCAAACACTATAAATATTTCAACGAGATATCTCCTCCGCTGAGGAGATGGGCGGCATATAAATTAAATAATTAAATAATTAATTGAATAAATAAATGTTTTGCTGCTATTTTTGAGGGTGCCTTTGAGTCAGTGTTCACTCCTGGCGCTGCCTGGACAAGTCCATGCAGTTTTCTTGGCAAGATTTTTGGAAGTGGTTTGCCACTGCCTTCCTCCTATGGCTGAGAAAGAGTGACTAGCCCACAGTCATCCAGTTGGCTTTGTGTCTAAGGTGGAAGTAGAACTCATGGTCTCCTGGTTTCTAGCCTGATGCATTAACCACCACACCAAACCGCTTCTTCTTTAATACTAGTCCCGGATAAACACAGAATTATGGAAATTGTAAGAGGACTTTCCAACCCTCATTTATAGTGAGTTAAGGCAAACTCTCTTTGAATGATTTGAAACCCTTCTTCCCAATTTCTTCCTATATGGGTTCAGTTGCCATTTGAAAGATAAGCTGTCAGCTGATGGGCCCACTATGCCTTGATTATGTCTATTCCCCCCTTCCATTCCTTTCCCAGCCTCTCCACAATCTCTTATGGGTTGCCAACATTCTCATGATGATAGAAAGTAAAATGGAAAAGAAAGCATAATTATGAAATATATATTTTAAAAATGTACAGAGAAGTACACTAGAGCAGAGTGTTTTAGGGAAAGCAATGCACTCCAGCCTTACCCCCTCTTTCAACAAAAAGCACCCCCCCCGAATCATAACTAGCTTACCACATGCCCACATGTCTACTGGCTTCCCATAGGGATCTTTTCGTAGCACCTCAGGGGAAAGGTATCCTGGGGTACCAGCGAAGCCTGAAAAGAAAGTATGCTTATTGGAAATGGAAAGCATCCAGTCAGAATAACAGGTATTTCTAAAACCCCTTTTAAAGTATCTATGTTTAGGCTATATCATCACCACCTACTACAACTTAGCTTTGTCCATCTGTGTATCTTTTCTGTAATAGAGACATTTGTGAATTACTTCCATAAACCTACTATGGGCTTTCATCTGTGGAGGAGCAAGTCCATTCGTACAGAAGCACAACTATTCTGTTCCTTTATCAATATGCCTTTCTCTCTCTCTCCCCCTCTCTCTTTTCACCACTTCATCTTGTTTTATGCTCTAGGGATTTAGCTGGGCTTTGAATATTTTGGAAAACCAAAAAGGACAACCAATTTATGATTTCCTGATCCAATAGTAAAGAATACCTCTGGCATAACTGCACAACTTTTAATATACCCATCATTTGAATCTTTCTATATTTTGTAGGACTTTCACTTTTAACTTGTGTATACACAGTTTTCAAGACAACTTTCTCAAAGTCTTTTTATGCAAGCTTTTTAAAAATATGTTTCTCCAATGTAAGCTTATTTTAAAATATAGTTACAGATAATAGTCATTTTTGCTCTTTATATGCAACTTTCAGAAATATAATTTTTTATTTCATGCATTTTATGCTTTTAATTTGCAGGGGGTTAATGTAGATTTCTGACTGGAGAAAAATGGTTCAATAGTACAGTGTCAATTCAGGCACCTTTTGCAAATCTGTAGTAGATTTCTTTAATGTCCCACTTGCAGGGACACTAATTTAATATGGTGTAGGGATGGCAGGATAAACAGGGAAGAGTACTAAAAATTGAAAATGTTTTCTTACCAAACCAGGCCTGTTGTTCACCTTGAACTTCAATTGCTAATCCAAAATCTGCCAGTTTTACAGCTGCTCCTTTTGACTTGCTTGCTAGAAGCAAGTTCTCAGGCTTTACGGTGGGGGGGGGGGGGGGAAAAAAGAAAGTAGAAGATAAGTCAATACTTCTAACTCAGTACTTACTTTATATAGATTAAGTTGGAGGCAGGGACAACACACTTTTCCTGTTTTCAAAGATAAGCAATAAAAGTTTGATTCTGAGAATTTTTAAGTGGATCCCTAATCCACAATTTATTTAGAGTAAGGCTGTTTTCTTGTGCTACACATTTAAAAGCTCTGTTTTCTATAGAAACCCAGCATCAGCAGCACAGACCGACAAGCCTCTAAGACTGGTCTATCAAGCTTCTACAACTTTTGTTTGAGAATCTGAAGTTTTTCTCAATAACAGGATTATTAACCTTCTTCAACCTGATGCCCATCAGATTAGTTGGTCTGAAATTCCCAGAGTTCCCAGCTCTTCAACACTTCTGGAGAACACCAGTTGTGGAAATCTTAGCTAGATGGCCCACAGAATGTCTTATTCAATGCATTCCTCTTGTAGGAAAAGTTATAGTCTAACACAACCAATCACCGATATCCAGACTAAGACTCAAATCTTTTTCTTTACTAAAAACAGATATATCATAAACATGGTTTGTTACAAAATGGACAAATGACCTGGAAATGCTACCTATATCTGTCTTGTCAAAATCTATACAGCAACTAGATAGCAGGAAAGATACAAAAAAAACCCTGTAGAGATTTCTTGCAATTCAGTTATAGTAGCCCTAGGATCGAGTTTGTATTATAGTGAAGATCATCTTAAAATGACATCCTTCCATTAGATATAAATATATTCAATGTTATTTTTGGTTTTTGGAATCTAAACTTTAAAAAAAAACAGTTTGATTACTACAAGAATTATAAAAAGTGCAATCAATTTTACAAGCAGTTTGCCAGGCTAATTAATCTATAAAGACTTTTTAAGGCAGAAAAAAAGTTTGTAAAGATTAGTTCTTGGAAAGCATTGAAAATCTTAATATTTATAAGTTTCAAAATCCTATGCAGGACCTGTGATGTTAAGCCAGCTTCTCTCTAAACTTTCCAGATGGCTGGGAATGTAACTTCAAAAATTCTCATAATGTCACATTAGAGTACGTTGTATTACATTTACACGTGTCCCATAGGCAAGCACCTAGGTCTAGCACAACACAGAACTGGGATAACAACCTAATCTTCTTCTTCTTCCTCACTCCATAAGAACCACTGAATATTGTCAGCAAGTAATTCCGGACATGTGTATAAAGCAAATATCACAGTCATAAGGAAAGAAACACGGTCCAATCATTACAGAACAGCCATACACTCAACAGCAAGCTCATTTGACTTCTGGGCAGCTGACTATGCCCTTAAAAAAACATGCACCAGCCATTTCAGGACGATGGAAATGTTAATAGATTTATCATGCATGAGTTCTGAATAGGTTGGGGCAAATGTACACAATTGGACAAAAAAATGGGGGATTTAACAGAGATGGAATCTTTAGACTCCATCCAAAAAAGGAACAAGTCAGTGTGTGGATCACAAAGTTGCACTTTAGCTGCAGATGTGCATATAGTAGACAGAAAACAGTAATTTATTCTTGTTCTTGTAACAGATAAAACAGGCATAAAACATATTTTGTGTTGATATATAAACTACACGTATAAAGGGTATTCTAAAAGAATCTAACAAGTATATGTTTTATAATTCACATACTTGGTGATCTAGCTGACAAAAAAAAATCACAAGTTACAAGGGGTAATTTCTGTATGATATGCAATTTCTCTGGAAAAAGGTAATTGGCCCAGTCCAGTTATGATAATGAAAGAAACGGAAATACAGGTAGTCCCCAGTTTAAGAATGAGTTCCGTTCCCAAGGTCTGTCCTTGAGTTGAATTTGAATGTAAGCCAGAACAGTATTATTGTATACTACTGCATAAATAATATTGTGTAATTAACGCAAAACCATTGTGTACTTAACTCGAAGTTTGCTACAATAGGCTCCATTCTTAACTGTGGGTTGTTTATAACCCAGGTGTTCTTAACCTACATGTAGTCACAAGTACTTGAGTTGATTGGGTAGATCCAAAGCTACAGCTTTAAAGAAAACTATAGCTGTGTTGAAATTAAGTCCCATTAATTGTATTCTATAAATATGAGTTAGATTTGCATTCAATCTATTTGTTTTAATGGGTTTCAGCACTAAAGATTGAATGAAGTCATTAGTCTCCCAAAATTTTGGGGGGCCAAGTTTTATGTCATCCTTGCAAAATTATTTAAAAATGTACACAGGTATTTAAACAGTATATGATTTATGGAATCCCTTATCCAAGATAAAAAGTTAAAGCTTTACATCTGAAGAAGGGTTTTGATTTAAAAACAAAACAGAACCCAAAACATTGACAGAAATAATTTACTGCATTTATTGCTCTGTTAGTGACAAGAAGAATGTTTTTAAAAGTAAGGACTTCTGTTCTTTAAAGCACTTTTTTCTTTAAAAAAAAAATCTAACAGCCTTGGAACTATTTCCTTTTGTATAATTTAGAATGTATTAAGGACATTCATATTTCTTAGATATTCTGCAGTATTAGCTACAGAAACTGCAATCACAATGGTACTTGACTTTGGAGAGATCAATTCTGTTGTTCTAATGGGAGATAATTTTAATTAATTCTTTGTTTCTTTGTTTTGAATTAAATTCTGCAAAGAATCTTGGGTCATTTTAAACAAAAAAATTGTGACATAGACTCTTGTGTATGCATGAAATAGACACCTGGGAAAGCAAGCGTGTAATATAGATAGTTAAATAAATAACTGTTCCCTGATTACAGGAAAAAAAAAAAACTATATACAATTATACACACCAACACACATACATGTCTTCATTCTGTCTTTTTGTGCTCTGAGTGTGTATTCCTGCCACCTAGGCAATCATTTCATGCATCACAGAATATGGGTTCTAGTTCAAAGCATATTTAGGACTATTATCAGAAACAATATACGCACATTCACCCTACCCCATTATCCTCACCCAGTGCATGGTTGTGTTGGATATTTGTCAAGGTTAGGCAATGATGATATTGTCATAAATACAACAACATAATATACAGAGCATAAATGATTACAGATTATGATCAAATGCATACAATATCCAGTTTGGGAGTGAACTATTCCAAATAACTGGCAAGAGGAACTACTATTATCTGAAGTGAGCTATGCAGATTTGCTATAATAAATGTTCACTGTATCAAATCTACTGGTGAATGCCAGAGGCCCCACTGTGTCTGAATTTCTTTTTGAAAATGTTTGTATTGTGAGATTAATGGGCAGCTCTACAGTTTATTACGGATCTCATCCAAGCAGCTAGGAAATGAAAGAAATTGCTTTAAAAGGTTCTATGATATTCTGCTTAGTTTTCAGATCGAGGGTTTTAGATATTACTGTTACACTTTGTAGAATTTAATAGAAAAATATTTTTGTTCTGAATTTATGAAAAACTGCATGTATATCTGTGTATATATGTATGTATGTATGTATGTTTATGTGTGCATGTAAGCGCCTGAATTAACTTCTAAAAGAATGGCAAACTATTTGTTCATATTCATTACTACTGTTCTGCATTCACGATTGTATATTTTAGGTTTGCATGAAGTCTTTTTTAATTGTAAAAATAAGATTTAAAAATCAGCTAGAACTGCTGGTCAACAATGTTACTTTAGCAAAAAACTGAAGAAGCTAATCAGATGCGAAAACTGATTATCCTTAGCTATATTTGGCAAAGCTGAATTAATGTGTAGAGGGTGGGTGGGAATAAAATCAGCAAAGCATCTGCAAGGGAAAAGTAGTTGTCTGTTTTTGCAACCATGTACCTCCTGCCAAATAATCAGTGGATGTTTCCTTGCTTCTAGATGCAGAAATGCAGCTATGTAGTGCTTTGAATCTGTGTGGTATGATTATCTTCCCCCACAGCATTACTCACCTTCAAGTCCCGATGGACTACGCCCATCTGATGGCAGTGTAGCACAGCCTCCAGGATCTGCTGAATGCAATGACTGCATGCAAACACCAGGGGGCGTATATTAGTTCGAAGCTGTACACTCACTGTCTGTATAACCTCAGTGAGACTGGGTTAAAGTGCAAAATGATGAACAAACTGAGATCGTGATACACAACCTCTCAAATATGTATGGACCTGCATTCCTCCGCTAGAACAGCTACTTCCTCAGACAATGTGAACGCGCACTGTAAAGTTACATGCATGGTTTAGCCCATTTTTATGTAGGGCATTAACAAGAGGGAGACAGATTGGTTCAGGCTCAACCTCAACAAAAGGGTTGAAGGGTCTATTCTTGGGCATGCACGTAATATACTGATAGGTAGACAATGAGAGCATATCAGTTGTGATAAACCCATTTTACAAACTTGGGTTAAATATCTGGTGCAGTTTGTTCCTTCCCTCCCTTACTTGCCTTGAAGGCCTTTTTGCACCAGCAACCCTGAAAATAAATTTACTTTTAAGTAGTTTTGTATTTGAGATAAATTATTCACCCTTCATGGTTTCATTTAGCCAAGCAATTATTTGATCACTCTTGCCTGAGGGATCTATCCTACTCCAGCAGAGCAATGCATAACCCGTCATTCTGCTACAATAACCCATTGTCTCTGAACAGAAGTGGTGTTTTAAACCTGCAGGCTAATATCTATCACAGACAAAGGTCAGCCACAGATACAGGCTACCAGACTGATGCAATCGCCTTCCACAACGGGTCCTGATATCTCTCGCACCTACCACATCCCTTGGAAGGTCACTGTCTTAGCAGTCCCTATTCTACCTTTTTCTGTGATGGACATTAAACCTGTGACACTTGCCGAGTGGAAAGCAGCGTCATGCATTATCCATTTCTCATATTATGGGTGAGGAGGGATAGCCAAGGGAACTTCTCAGCCGACCCACCCTTAAAACTCAAGCCAGGAAGGAAAAACAGAAGAAGATGAGAGAGGGAGAGAGAGAGAGAAGCAAATAAAATAATAATAACTTCTTAGCAAACCTATGGGGCACCAGATACTGACCTTGAGGTCTCTGTGCACTATGCCATTTAGGTGACAATGATTAACACTTTCTAGAATCTGCTGTATACAATGACTGCAAAGATACAAGGGCAGAATGGGAGGGGAAAAAACATTTTAAGGCACATAATCACATTAAATACAGAAAATAATAATAATAATAATAATAATAATAATAATAATAAAAAAAAAATAACTTAAAATAGCAATAAATTAAAATAATCAAATCACATTTTTGGACAGATTTATTTACACACAGAACTGAAACATAGCATTTCTCTCTTTCTCTTTAGGAAAATTGTTAAGAGAATCAAAAGAAATGACATTTAACATATAACAGATAATGCTGCTAGGTATAAGCCTTTGGTGGAATTTTTGCTGAAATATGAGAGGAAAAGTTAAACATATACTAGGTGATAGAACTACAGTAAATAATGTAGGCTCGTTGTAGCTAGCAGTGCAGTGTAAATGTTGTCAACATAAATAGCATAGAGAATTTGTGTAAACACTGGTCACTATCGTCAATAATACGTGTAGTGACCAAAAAAGAATTTGGCTTATTAACTGGTCAGTGTGTTCTGAATGATACTGGAAAATATGAAGCTGGGGTTATTATACAATCTGGAGAGTGTGCATATTCACTTGGAGAGCATGAATATTTGCTAACCAACTTAGGTATCTATATTCTAGTGTCCAATGTGACTAAGAAAGAATGCCTATTAATTGAACAACAGACACATCTCTATGCAAATCCTTCTAATATATGCATGCTTTCCACATATTAATTAATGGTATAATGGCTATTTCTATGTGCATTCTCCTTTCATGTTTAACTCCAACATATATACAACATTTTTATACAGAAACATAAAGGGAAAAGTAAAACAGAGCAAAAGCAAAAGTAAAGCACAAAACTTCTTGAACACCAAACAGTTTAATAGAACATAAAACGTGGAAAAAAATCAGTGTTTAATTGAAAAGTGCATTTGTAGCAGTCAGTTGATTAGCAGTCATCTTTGAAAAAAAAGTGGGGAGTCTCTGAACTTGATTTAGTAGGATATAGAATTCCTAGAAAAAAACCCCTCTGTCAATTAGACAACCTTGTTGGAAGAAGAGGCAAGTATCTTTTTCTTCTTCCTCTTCTGCTGCATTGCTCTTTTACAGAGATCACAGCACATGACAGGGTGCTGCATGAAGCTTTTGGGGAAAGTAGAGTCAGCAAAAAAAACTTCTCCTTTCCTCCACCAGATAATGCTGCTCATGAACAGAAGTGACCTTTCTGGTATTAGAGATGACACTCTGCTTCCACCCATTCATTTATTTATCTCTCTTTCTACCTCAATCTCTATTTTTATTACACACTTGTTAAATATGGGAAAAAATAGGCAAAAAAATTAAAGATGGACCTTTAGATTCTTTGAGTTCAGTACTAAACAAAGTAAAGAATCATTCCTCGCTTTCACAGCAATAGGTGAACATTTTATTGGTGTCAGTTGGCCTAAAAGACTGAACATTACTTTGATGTCACTGGTAGATTGGCAGGCAAAGAATAAAGCCACATGGACTCAGTTCTCTACCTGTCTGCAATGGAAAAGAAAAAAAGCTGAGCCGGGTGGGTTTCAGATACCGGCTAGTTAGGGTGTTGGAACTCATTAGTTTGGGAGTCTTTCAGAATTTGCTGACCTCCTTGATTTTAGCGGGCCCAAATTATTCAGACCAAAAGTATCACTCCTTTCCTTTCTAAAGATTCTAACAAAAGCTAGTACAAAAACTTGCTACATGAGCAAATCAATCACTGCCATACTGATTTTTTCCCCTTTTCTCTCAAGAACAGCTCAACTTCTACAAAATCATTTTTGTAAGATAGGATATTTTGGGTGGGACTGGAGGAAAGGAAAACCACACTTTACTAGAATGAAATTGCTTTAGGGTAATGACATCACAATGAAATGATGTTAAAGGTTCCTACTGTATGAGGAAAGATACTTGGATCCAACCCGTAGAATAACAATGGAACATTTATTTGTAGAACCAAATTCTCATATGATAATATTCCAGTGAGAAATGTATTGTGGAAACAAATATCTAAGAATAGACTCTCCACAAAAGCGAACAAGTGGAATCCCTGTATGCTGAATGAGTGCTGTTTTCCAAGACTATATATAATCCAAGAAAGGTTACTGTAATTTGCTGCAGGGTATTACACTAAATTAATCACATTAAAAGTAAGTCTTTAAAAAACAACAACAGAAACAGATGATTAAATTTTTTTGAAAATTCAGGACTGACCTTGCATCTGCTTCACTGTAATATTCTCTTGCAACAATGTCCTCAAATAATTCACCTCCAGTAACTCTATTAATGACATAAAACATTTTTACAGGTAAAACTAAATTATAAATGTAATTTTTACCCAAGTTTTGCAAATACAGTACTGAATTATGTGGCTGATTCATACAATGAAGGATCTGCAACCAGACTCAGTTCTAGATGCAGATAACGTGTCTAACCTTAGTAAATAAATGTTTACTGCACTTGCACATTACATTTTTTAAATCTACTGACTCCCAAACATTCTGCACAGGAGAATTTTTGCCCACATAAAGTATGAACCTTCCCTTAGCCTTATGGCCTTTCAGTCATTCACTGTTCAGGCCTTCATCATATAGTCCAAAAGGATGGCCTATTTTACTGTTTTTTCCAAACTACATGAAAAATCATGAATGAGTTGGTGTATTTCATTGTGGGACCTTTATAATATAATGCATAAATTATGAACTGCACAATTTGTTAGTCTGTCTAGTGCTGCTGTCCATTTTCAGTAGATATGGCAAAAGATTATCTTGCAAGGATTCATACCATTTCAAATTGCCACTCTATCACTTTGGATGAGATACCAGCTCTATTTGGCTCTTATTTTATATAAAGCCCTTCATACATAAGAACTTCAATATTTAGCTGTATTTTTTAAAAAGTCTAAATAAACTATCCAATAAAGAATCAAGAGAAAGCAATTCATATTAATAAGCAGATAATGTTAAAATGAGGGTTTTCATTTGATTTTTTTTTTATTTAGTTCAAAACACATTGTTCTGTGAGGTCTGAAATGAGACATTTTAAGGCAATAACAAGCCCACTTAATGACCTTTACATTTGGCTCAATAGTGTTTTCAGCAAAAACAATGTGCTTCATAAACAAAAAACCAATTCTTTCTAAAATATCTTGCAATGCTGGATATAACTGGGTGAAAGGGAGTTTATTACTTAACAGCAATTATGTATTTTTTGTTTAGTGACCTCTTTCTTTTTATTACAGTTTCAGTAAATCATATAGTAGCCTGAAAAATTTCAGTAAACAGGTTTGCAATACAAAACATGTTCCCATCTTTTCTGACAAATCTTATACATTTGGAATTATTTTCTGTTATACTACAACTTTTTTTTCAACATTTATTATCGCATTGCTTGTATGCTTTCTCCTCATTTCTCTTCAAAATAGCTTACCTGTTGCTGCAGAAAACATCTTGGTTTTGTTAAACTGGAAATTCTGGTTTATCTCCAACTAGAAACCAGGAACTGATCAGAACTCACAAACCACAGTTTCCTGTTATTCTTTATTAGAGTAACTAGTGGCAAGGGATCAATATTATGTGATATACGTTATGTTGTTAAATGCAGTTTTTTTCATAATCTTCTTCGTTCTTAGAGAATCCCCCTAAGAAAGTTCATTAACGTTTATCTATTTTCCATAAATAGATAACAGTAGTTATAAACATGGATTTTACTTAACCCTTCACAGTGATGCGGTGCGGACATGGTGAACCAGGGTTACCTGGAACAGACTGGTTCCCCTGCAGATACGATATAGCCATCAGTGCCTTGAACTGTAAGTGTACACCATGTACAGTGGCTTCTTCAGAGCCATATAGGTTAGTGTGTTTTTAGGTTTGCTTATTGTGCCCTCTGGCAATCTCCGCTCCATTGCTTTTTAATCTGGTTCATGTGACATAGTATTTCATTTTATATATTAAATGCTATAGGACACAAACTACAAGCAGGCAAGTTGACTTACAAATCAAAGACTAGGTAATGAAATCCTTCTTCTGATATGCTGTCATGAAGTCGCACTGTTGAAAGAAAAGAAAGATTTTCCTAGTTTTTTTCTAGCTTCTCCTTTTTTTATTATCCTTTCCTTCTACCCTTCTGTTAACATCTAACAATATTCTACTCTTTTCCTTGGGTTACACCTTCCATTGGAAACACTCCCATCATGCAAAACAGATACATTTGTAGTATCTTAACATAACTCTATAAATGTCATAGACTAACATCTAATGTATTTATATGCCCTTTACATACATAAATCATTGCAGATTAAATTGCAGTTTTGATAGCTATTTGGAGGCCCTGAGTAAGTCAATCTATACATGAAAGAAAAATATGTTTTTCCTGAACCCATTAAATAACAATCAGCACATACAATGTTTCAAGTGTCAACAAATATTGGGTAGCAAACAGAATAAACTGCTCATCCATTACCTTAAAAATGAAAACATGCAGAAGATATAATACAAAAACAAAGGCACATTATCTTTCACGGCTTTCAGAGTGAATCCATCAAAAACACTTTGTTCTAGCTAGAAAGGAATGGATGTGGAACTCAAAACATTTTGTTTTATATTAGGAGTCTGCAGTCGATGCATGGCACTTTATACTGGCAGAAGATCCACTATACAGAAAGGTAACTGTGCCACACATTTCCATTTTTCAAGTTCAGGTTTGAAATGAACCAGGCCTTGGTTCAAAACACATTTCTGAGAGTTGAAACCAGTGATCTGACCTTCGAAATGAATAATTAGTTTTATCAAGTATCCATTTGACTCCTGGGTAGAAATGCATTCACTTTCACTTACAAAAACCTCTTCTGTTTAAGTGACAACTTCTTTATGGTAAGTGGATATTATGCAATAACGGAAAACCATTTTGCTTTCTTGAAACCTGGATCCACAATACATGCACAGTCATACCTCCCCATAGTGAAGGATTCTTCAATAAATAACATTTGGGCACTGATAC